CCGCGAGCAGGGACTTCTCGAGGAGGTCGACAGTGAGGGTGGTGGGACAGACAGAGAGAAACTGGTCCCTAACAGCACGAAGGGACTCAGGGAGACGGGTGACTAGAAAGTAGAGGGTGATGTACATGGGAGGGGGGTTTTCGGCGAGGAAGGCAGCAGGAAGCGCAGCTCGGTAGCGAGTGTCACTAGCGCGAAGGTGGGTAAAGAGGTCAGGGACTGTGGGAAAGGCAGCAAGGTCAGGGAAGAGGTACGGTAGCATGAGGCGGCTCAGTGTAGCAGTGGAAGGGGAGGAGTAGCGCGCAACTACAGCGTCGTACAAGGCCTGAGCGGTCTTGCACTGACTAAAGTGGGCACGCTCGGAGGAAGGGAGGTGGCGACGCACAGCAAGACGTGCAGCAGCATCGCGTGTGGCCCACTTGGAGCGAACAGTGGGGTCAGCATCAGCAGGAGGGGCAGGGACAGCGCCAGAGGCAAAGTCAAAGAGAGAGATGTCATCTACTGAATCGCACTGCAAGTACAGCTGCAGGTCCTCGACCCAGACCGCAAAGTCAATGGCACGACCCTCAGCGTCAAAGGCCATGACACTGGGGGTGGCCATGATAGCAGCCGACAGTCTCACCAGAGAAGAAGGGTCGAGCAGCTCAGTAGGACAGCAACACAGCAGCTCAGCAACTCCGCCGGCCCAGGAGTAGCAGCAGTCCCACAGGATCCGGCTCCCGGCACCGTAGACGGATCGGGCGGCTCGGGCGGCTCGGGCGGCTCGGGCGGCTCGCGCGGCTCGGGTGACGCGGGGGCTCACGGGCAGCGCGGGCGGCTGCACGGGCGGCTCACGGGCGGCTGGGGCGGCTCACGGGCGGCACGGTGGGCGGCTGCACGGGCGGCTGCACAGGCGGCTGCACGGGCGGTTGCACGGGCGGGTGCACGGGCGGCGCACGGGCGGCTGCACGGGTGGCGCGGCGGGCTGCAGCACGGGCGGCGGGGCCGCAATGGGGGCCGTAGCGGGGCTGCAGCGGGGCCTAAGCGGGGCCGTAGCGGGGCCGTAGCGGGGCCGACGACGGGCTGTAGCGGGGCCGTAGCAGGGTCGGCGGGGCCTAGGCGGGGCCGACGGGGCCGACGGGGCCGTAGCGAGGCCGTAGCGGGGCCGTAGCGGGGCCTAAGCGGGGCCAACGGGGCCTAAGCGGGGCCGACGGGGCCTAAGCGGGGCCGACGGGGCCTAAGCGGGGCCGACGCGGGGCCGTAGCGGGGCCTAAGCGGGGCCGACGGGGCCTAAGCGGGGCCGACGGGGCCTAAGCGGGGCCGACGAGGGGCCGTAGCGGGGCCTAAGCGGGGCCGACGGGGCCTAAGAGAGGCCGACGCGGGGCCGTAGTGGGGCCTAAGCGGGGCCGACGGGGCCTAAGCGGGGCCGAAGCGGGGCCGTAGGGGTAAAGCGGGGCCGCGACTAAAGGGCGGCGGGATCGCGAAGGTAAGGGCGACACGCAGGGTCGCTAAAAAAAAAAAAAACGCGCGCCTCGGGGCGCGCTTCGGTGGGCCCTAGGAATAGTCCCTAGGAGGGGACCTGCTCTGATTCCATGAGAAGAATTGAACGAGAATGATTGAACTATGAATGAATTGAGTACAAATAGGAAACCCTAGTTGGGTTGTACCCCCTATGGGATACCCCACTATAGCCTACACAAATAAGCAAGCTATAATATTCTGACATGCAACTCGTTGCACGCTACTCCGTTGGGCAGCCAGTGGTGATCGTGACTATGTGATCGCGGTCACTAGTATCTTACGAGCGGTAGAGTTGGTCCTCACCTCTCCGAACGAAGATTGTTGGCTTGTAAACAGATTCATGTTCTGATATACATGTCTAATTGATGTCAAACTCGGGCTTTGTTGACAAGACATATCATCCTGTCTTATTGCTCACAGTTGGCCCAATACTACATGTGGAAACAAGGTGTAAATACAAAATTATAATGTCAACAACTTTCCTCAAAGGAAGCAAACGTACCTGTTAGGCATGAAAATCGTACTGTATAAGAAATATACTCGATTGGAATATTCCACCGCATTGGGTGGTAAAACAAGCGAGGCTTGTCGTGGTACAGTGATGATGCCACCCAAACCGTGCTTGTCTGTGACGTCGCTATGGCTGACGAAAATGAATGAAAATGTCAGCCATTGGCACCAATGATATTCTGACGGAAAAAGCTGCCTAAAACATTTTCATAAAAAAATGTTAACTCAAATAGATCATAGGATAAAACACTTAATGCCGTATTTCAAGGTGTTTTAGAATTACGAGACACCACGGGCAGGAATTCATTACTTTGCTTGTAATTCATATTTTGAAAGGAAAACTGTGCGCCACTGGCAAAACACGATTCGACCTCACGTCGTACCGCGTCGCACCTTCACGATGCTGACCTTCCGAAACCTGCTCTGCTGCAGCCAATCCCATGTCAATGTTATCTGCCAGTTGTAACTGCTCATGAATCTGTATGGGAAACCGCTGCAGACTGTATGCCGGGGTTATCACCAAACGGAAATGTAATTATCACAATGTTGTAGGCGCAAATGATTTTGACGAGGTTAGACAGTGGTCACCCAAACTCGAATGCCGAGCAAAATTCTAGAATTAGTGTCGAATCGAGTCAATACATGTTGTGGCTGCGCGCTATTTTGGTGAAGACTAATTCCCAAACTGCATGTAAGTTTCTATGCCCCGCGAATATACCCAGTTAAACTCCGGGACAACCGCGCGTATTGTCACTCTGAGCTAAATTTCAAAGGAACGAGACTATATGATCTCGCACATGTGCATCGATCGGACAGATGGTGCCATAAATCAGCACTTTTACATCGCTTGCGACAAGTGCAGGTCGCAGACATACCAAGATGTCTTGTGCGCAGGGGACTTCGTGTGGTGGGAAACGAGCACTGGCCCCAGAAAACAGTGAGGACGTCGTTACGCTGGATGATGTTGGTTTACGGGTGGACGAGGACGAGCCTGCGACGAAAAACGACAATGGTGATGTTTTGGCGAGGATGCAGGCGTTCATGTCTTTTATGGAGGCGGACGGTATGCTTTCCAAAGAAGTAGTGAAGAAGAAACCCAAGAGGGGTAACATGTCAGCTCTCGACTCCGACCATGCAGTAGCTCAACCAGAGCCTCCCGTGCCAGTCGTTGGCGGAACTTCCTCACTTCAGAAGACCGTAACAGGCGCACCGCTCGATCTCACAGGGGCCCTGGCGGATGCTGTAGAGGGTACAACAGGCACAGATGAGCGTGTTAACACCCACGGCCTGACTGTTCTTTCTCGCGCACGAACAGGTACGTCATTTTTCTTTTATCCATTTGTCTTTATAATCTTTACCGATTTAAGGTAGCCAAATGCCTCGTCATCTAATTAGTGACGCGCATAAATGGATTAACGGGATTCCCACTGTCCCTACCCACTATCCAGCGAAACCACAGCCAAGGGAACGGGCTTGGAAAAATCAGCGGGGAAAGAAGACCCTGTTGAGCTTGACTCTAGTCTGACATTGTGAAATGACTCACGAGGTGTAGCATAAGTGGGAGGGAAACCGTGTCAGAAAATATCTGTAACTGCTTGTAGCTGTAGTTAGTGTAGTTATTATAAACTTTGTGTGGTGGTGCACCTTCTTTCTTACTTTGCTATATGTTCTTGCAAACCTATAGTGAAGCCCCCATTTTCCCTTTCTCAACTTTCACGACATTCTCCTCAACCCTAAAACTCGAACTACTAAGAACCTCCTTAACTATGGCTCCTAAGCCAACCTATGCCTAGTATATTAACATGGTATTCAGAGCAGGTACGTTCCTACTGCTTTCCTGCTTCCGCTGCCTATCGTCTTGTCGTGCGCCTCGCGCGCGCGGCGTATTGCGCACGGCGATTTTCTGCCCGCCGTGTGCTCGGGGCGCACGGCGGGCTTCTGCCTGCCGTGCGCCCTGGGCGCGCGGCGTCTTCCTGCCCCGCGCGTGGCCTGCCCTCACGCCGCCTGCGCGCCTGCCTCACGTCCACGGGCGGGCCTGATTTGCCCGCCCGTACCCTCCACTTTGCGGCGCCCTGCGAGGCGCCGCTCCTGCTCGTCGCGACGCACCTGCGGGACCCGGGCGTCACCACTCCTGCTCGTCGCGACGCTCCTGCAGGACCCGCAAGGCGTCGCCTTGCTCGTCGCGACGCCACTGCTTGTCGCGGCGCCCCCTGGACGCCGCCCCTACTCGTCGCGGCGCCCCTGGGGCGTCGCCCGTGCTCGTAGCGGCACTCCTTGGGCGCCGTCTCTGCTCGTCGCCTCCCCCATGGCCACCGCCTCTGCCTCACCCGCGCCCGCGACAGCGTTGCAGCCGAGCCTGGGCCTACCTTGCACCAGCGCCGCCCCTGGACCTCAGCACCAGCGCCTGGAGCAGCCGCCCCAGCAGCAGCAGCCTCTGGAGCCGCCGCCCAAACAGCAGCAGCCTCTGGAGCTGCCGCCACTGCAGCGGCCGCCCCAGCAGCAGCAGCCTCTGGAGCCGCCGCCCAAACAGCAGCAGCCTCTGGAGCTGCCGCCACTGCAGCGGCCGCCCCAGCAGCAGCAGCGTCTGGAGCAGCCGCCCCATCAGCAGCAGCGCCTGGAGCAGCCGCCCCAGCAGCAGCAGCCTCTGGAGCCGCCGCCCCAGCAGCAGCAGCGCTTAGAGCAGCCGCCCCAAGCGCAGCAGCCCCTGGAGCCGCCGCCCAAATAGCAGCAGCCTTTGGAGCTGCCACCACTGCAGCGGCCGCCCCAGCAGCAGCAGCGTCTGGAGCAGCCGCCCCATCAGCAGCAGCGCCTGGAGCAGCCGCCCCAGCAGCAGCAGCCTCTGGAGCAGCCGCCCCAGCAGCAGCAGCGCCTGGAGCAGCCGCCCCAGCAGCAGCAGCCCGTGGAGCCGCCGCCACTGCAGCGGCCGCCCCAGCAGCAGCAGCGCCTGGAGCAGCCGCCCCAGGAGCAGCCCACGGCGCCGACCCCACAGCTGTATGCACCGCCGCTCCTGGTCTCGGTATGGCTGCCCGTGCCTGTGCTGCCCGTTGCCGCCTGTTGCTGCCTGCTGCTGCCTGTGCCTGTGCTGCCTGTTGCCGCCCGTTGCTGCCAGTGCCTGTGCTGCCTGTTGCCGCCCGTTGCTGCCCGTGCCTGTGCTGCCTGTTGCCGCCCGTTGCTGCCCGTGCCTGTGCCGCCCGTTGCCGCCCGTTGCTGCCCGTGCCTGTGCCGCCTGTTGCCGCCCGTTGCTGCCCGTGCCTGTGCTGCCCGTTGCCGCCCGTTGCTGCCCGTGCCTGTGCTGCCCGTTGCCGCCCGTTGCTGCCCATGCCTGTGCTGCCCGTTGCCGCCTGTTGCTGCCTGTTGCTGCCCGTGCCTGTGCTGCCTGTTGCCGCCCGTTGCTGCCCGTGCCTGTGCTGCACGTTGCCGCCCGTTGCTGCCTGTGCCTGTGCTGCCTGTTGCTGCCAGTGCCTGTGCTGCCTGTTGCCACCCGTTGCTGCCCGTGCCTGTGCTGCCTGTTGCCGCCCGTTGCTGCCCGTGCCTGTGCCGCCCGTTGCCGCCCGTTGCTGCCCGTGCATGCGCTGCCCGTTGCCGCCCGTTGCTGCCCGTTCCTGTGCTGCCTGTTGCCGCCCGTTGCTGCTCATGCCTTTGCCTGCGCCCTCGTGCGCTCTGGTGCTGCCCGCGCCCTCGTGCGCCCTGCTGCTGCCCGCGCCCTTTTGCGCTCTGCTCTGCCTGCGCCCTCGTGCGCTCTGCTGCTGCCCGCGCCCTCGTGCGCCCTGCTGCTGCCCGCGCCCTTGTGCGCTCTGCTCTGCCTGCGCCCTCGTGCGCTCTGCTGCTGCCCGCGCCCTCGTGCGCCCTGCTGCTGCCTGCGCCCTTGTGCGCTCTGTTCTGCTCTGTCGCCCCTGCCCCCCCCCCCCCCCCCCCCCCCCCCTCCCCCCTTCTTCGTCTCCTTGCTGCGCGTGCAGCCGTGGCACGGAGGCTATGGGGTGGCAGGTATGGTGGTGATGGGTGTGTGTGATCCCCTTCCCCTCCTCCTCCTTTCTCTCCCACTGCTGCAGCTGCCGCTTGGGGGGGTGGGTGTGAGGGTGTGGGGGAGCTGTGGGAGAGGTGCTAGGGTTGTCAAGGAGTGTGGAAGGGGGAGTTGGAGGACTCAGGAAGGTTCCAGGAAGCAGTCGCCTTTGAGCTAGCAGCTTCTCCTCATATAGTCCCTCCTCCTCACTTAACCGGTGAAATACCACTACTCTTGACGTTATTTTACTTAATCCGTGAGGTGGAGGCGGGGCATTGCCCCTGATTCTTGCCTAAAGGCTTCGGCCGATCCAGGCGGATGACATTGTCAGGTGGGGAGTTTGGCTGGGGTGGCACATCCGTTAAACGATAACGTGGGTGTCCTAAGGCGAGCTCAATGAGAACAGAAATCTCGTGTGGATCAAAAGGGCAAAGCTCGCTTGACTTTGATTTTCAGTACGAATACAAGCCGTGAAAGCGGGGCCTATCGATCCTTTAGCTCTTCGGAGCTTGAAGGTAGAGGTGTCAGAAAAGTTACCACAGGGATAATTGGCTTGTGGCAGCCAAGCGTTCATAGCGACGTTGCTTTTTGATCCTTCGATGTCGGCTCTTCCTATCATTGTGAAGCAGTATTCACCAAGTGTTGGATTGTTCACCCACCAATAGGGAACGTGCGCTGGGTTTAGACCGTCGTGAGACAGGTTAGTTTTACCCTACTGATGCACCGGTTCCGCGGCAGCAATTCAACTTAGTACAAGAGGAACCGTTGATTCGCATAATTGGCAATTGCGTCAACTTGCAACCCCCCTCTCCCTTGACAGTCCCCCTGCTTAATGTGATTAACTTGCAACCCCCCTCTCCCTTGACAGTCCCCCTGCTTAATGTGATTAACTTGCAACCCCCCTCTCCCTTCACAGTCCCCCTGCTTAATGTGATTAACTTGCCACCCCCCTCTCCCTTGACAGTCCCCCTGCTTTCCCTATTGTTTCTTGCATTCTGAGTATGGTAGTATGTTAAGCTTCGACTTCTTTTTCTGTTGTTTCACGTGCTAACCCTTCAACAGCCACCCCTTCAGTAGGATTCCAAGAAGTCGTGCGTCTTCGCTCAGAGATCAATGACCTTCAGACGACATTGAAAGAAACGCAGGAGTGGGCTCTGGACGTTCAGATCGCGCTCGACGAGAAGGAGGTGGCGTATGCATCTCTATCCCTGCGCTTCGAGGAGCAAGAAGCGTTGATCCTTGCTCTGCGCCAGCAGATTGCAAACACCGCCAACACTCATGGCGCTGTTGTCAACACTATCATCATGCCGACCTACGACCTGCAGATGCTCCCACGGGACCACAACAACGTCGTCATCATCCCGGCAACGCTATACCAAGACCATCCGTGTGGGGTATGCGCCTATACACTGGAAATTTGTGGGCTTCGATGTTGCACTTTCCTATCGGATTTCTAAGCATTGTGTGTTTACGATGTTGCTTTGTCCATGCTCACCATTTATCTTACACATACCCCAAACGTATGCCCCTGTTTCAGAAAAAGGCCCTAGAGGCCTTCACCTTCATGACGACAACAGCACCGACTTGGAAGATTCTCTTCTATCCGTCGTGGCCCGACTTGGGCGAGATGATGGCAGAGAAGTACGCTAAAGATGGCGTCTCGAGGGATATGTTTTACTACGTGATCTGCAACTTCCCTGCAAAGGAGAACATTGCCATGCGCAAGGTGTCGGAAAAGCGCAGCAACTACAACTGTGACATCAAGGTTTTTGGTCGCGGTCCGGGAGGATGTGTGGCTGAGAGCAAGTGGAAGGAGCTCGCGGAGGAGGGCGTGGCTCCCACTACAAGCCGAACGCTTGTAGAGTGGACCCTCTTCTTTCTACATGGTAACTTCTTGTTAGAATGATAATAACGTGTGCCAAATTTATCGTTCACGGAAACGTCGATCATTTTTCCACAGTGTTGTTTGCTTGTTGTACGCAGTGCGATTTGGATCGAAGTGGCATTTCTGCGCTGTGCTCGGCCAGCCATTCGCCAACCGAACCTTCGAACTCGTGCTGCTGCGCGGTTTTGGTAGCAAGAAGGCGACGACCATCATGGTTAAGATCCCAGCGATGGGATATGCTTGCAACGTGGTAAGTGTCTCTCCCTTTGTGGTGCCTATATTGCCCCATATCCATGGACTAATATTCAGTGGTGTATTGGCAGGTGGAATGGCCCTTGGCAAATGCCAGAAATTGTGCTAACCCCTCCCTGGACACCTTGGAGACGGTCAACCAGCAGAATGTGGATCTGAAGATCTCACACGTGGTGCAGTGGATCAAGGAGACCTATGACAACGGGGACCATGCTATTTGGGATCCCGTGGCTCCTGCTGGCTTCAGGATGTCACCTAATGTGAAGATTCTCATTGAAGGATATGAGTCTCTCATTTTTCCCAACGGATTGCCTCCTGTGACTTGGCTCATTGAGCACAGTAGAGAAGCTTTGACATGCTTTGTTCCCAATTCCTAACTGGTTATTATTTAAAACGAAATCAAATCTACAGTAAACACTACTGCGAATTATTAATGTCAAAAAATGTAACAGTAGCAAAAACGCGTGACAATGTTGATGTGTATACGTGTAGGCCAATACTAAAAGTAAGGTGTATATATCAAAATTATTGACAGTGTCCATTCGGAAAATAGCGTCTAAAAAAAAAAAAAAAAACAACGAGAAACCAGCCGTTAATGTTCTGCGTTGTAAGCGCAGAAAACAAATTGAACAAGGTGTTCTGCTACTGTTATCTGGGAAATATCCCGATATGTAGTGTGCTTGACACCACTTTACGTCCCGGTTACTTCGATTGTAGCATTCGTGAACTCATCGCTAACAAGCGTAACCTGATCACCAGCAAGAAAATTTACTGGCGGGGATAGACGCATTTGCTGGATAAATCAACACGACCTGGCATTTCCAGCTAGTCCAACATCCACTTGTACGCATACACGATGTTGAAGGATGGTTTCCACGTGTTTCTGGGATTGCCTGCAAATAGCAACACATCTGCAACAGAATGGGTACGGTCGAAACCAATCAATACAGTGACGCGTGGATACAGACCAACACCCCCGATCGACCGCACATCCGATCTAGGGTATGATTCGTAACAAACCATCTATGATTTACGGCACAAATGGTAAGCAGTTGGAAAGGACCTTACTCAACCAAAACCTCACCAAACCAGCACAACACACTCCCGGCTTTTTTCCGATGGAAACCCCAAAAACCCGTGTGGCAAAGAGCTCTGTACGGCTACTTGCGACGATTGTCGCTGCAGCGGAACGATAGCACACCCATTGCTAGTAACTCGTTGTCAACTCCTTCCGCTCTCACAAACCCCACCTACAAATCCCCTCATCGACTCCATGTGCTCGCGCTGACGTTGCCTGGCTCGCCGACAGGTCTCCATGCCATCATGGAGCCTCGTCATTTCGCTCCCAGACCACAGCTGCCGTCTCGTGCTTCCCAAATGTCTGCCATGAGCATCTGAGCATGGACACCACCGCCTTCCTCGCTCACCTCGCTCGTCTCCCAACCTTCACAGACCATCGATGACCATCTCCTTGTCCAACAAGACACAGTGAGGCATCGGAAAATGAGAACATGGAGGCATGGGGGCATGGATGCATGGGAGCACCATGGGAGAATGAGAGCTTTCACACCCATACAAGGAACGTGAAGCTGAAATAGTGGTTATGGCATGGCACCAGCATGGAAAGTGGGGAGTAGGCAAAGGAACTGGCCACCCTTCTGCGTGATCATAACAGGCATCACATGTTTGTTTTCAGCCCCCACCCACCCTCCTCTGTTTCCTTCCTCCCCTTCCCCATTCTCGTCCCCTCCCTCCACCCTTCTTATCCAACCTCCCTCAGCCTTTCCATTTTCTGCAAATATCCCCTCTACCACTCCCTCCCTGCCATATCCCCTTTTCTCCCTCATCTCTCTCTTCCCCTAACTTCTCCACTCAACCCACTTTAACCATCGCACCTTCATGCAACCTTTTTTTCCCCTCCCAAATCAACTTCACCAGGACAATCTGCTCTTTGTCAATCCCACCCTCCGCGCCCCACTCACCCTCCTGCACACACCACGTGACCTGGCATACATGAGTCCATGTATTACTCTGCTTTCCAAACTTACTTCGGCTTGCACATATTTGAAGTTCCATGCCATTTCATGCCATCACACTGGTACTTCGGCAATCTGAGTAAGAGGTGCCTAAATAGAATACGGAAATAAGAAAAGCATACAAGAAAGCAGAGGCTAGATATTGCAGCAGCCGGGAAAGTTATCTTGCGCCTCAAATGAAATTGGACTTTAGACTGTATACTTGACACCCCGCAAACCGCCCGCCCCCACCCCCAACCCCATCAACACTTGAACAAAACTTGAACAAAAGAAATGCAGCAAGATGTCCCATGCATCTCCAACATCCCCACTCTTCTCCATTCTCTTCCTCCTTCATGCCCCACTTTCTCCTCGTGTTATGCTACTCTTCCTGTCCATCCCTCTTTTGATAAAAACCCCATAATTCTTCCCAGCCTTATTTATCCTGCTGCACTCATTGCCCTCTTTCCGTGTTTCCCATTCCCCCACATCTCTCACTACCACCTTCCCATGTGTTATCAGTAGCCGGGGTGTGGAGTGGCGCTGCTGCAGCAAGTCAGACAGCTAGGTGAATGTAGTTTAAGGAGGGATGGTGTGGAGGGGAATCGTGTGTGAGGGGATGGGGGGTGAGTTGGGGGAGAGAGAGAGAGGAGGGGGCTGGTGGGGCCAGGAGATGAGGTGCGTATGGTATGGTAAGGTAATTATGGTGGAATTCTTCTTTTATAAATCATAGGAGAATCTTTTGTTTTTGCAAATATGTTTGGGGGAAAAATTAGGAAGACAGCTCTGCATGCACATCTAATTTCATACCTTAATTCATCCCATACCTCATCCCATACCTCTTCCTATACCTCTTCCCATAACTCATCCCATACCTCATCCAATAGTGTACATACCACTGCATTTTTTACATAACTTCGCTTCCTTCAGCGCGCCGCCCTTGCCTTTTTCTCATGCCTGCCCTTCATCCGTGCCTGCCCTTTTTCACTCATTGCCTGCATAATCCCCTCAAGATCAGGCCATGTTATTGGTGCCACACAATAGCAGCAGCTAAGTCAGCAGCTGTAACCAAAAGGGTGGGGGTCCCATTCAGTGGGTGGACTGGTGGGGGGATGCACCTGCAATAACCTTTTTCTGATCTTGCTGTACTGGATTCATGATTGCATTGTGGTGACTGTTGGTGATACACAACGCCTTCAGTAGAGAGCAGCACCAATACAGGGTACACTGAGATAATCTCCTCTCCTCTAACATGCAAGTCTTCTTAGCCTGCTGCACGCCTCCAACATTCCACTCCAATCCATCTCTTCAAGGCATAACCACTACAGTAGGACCAGCAGTCTGCATTGCATACTGAGAAGCAGAAACACTTAAAGGTTGATCAATCTCTAGTATGTCAGCGAATGGGCCATACGGACGGGTGATGCAGCAGCTTTTACCCTTTCCCATGCAGACCGGGATGCTTCTACTTCACCTCTACCCTCCGTTCTATGCATGATGCCTTGCCTTGCCAAGTTGCTACTCAGCCCAACCAACCATTTGCCCTCCACCAAGCCATCGCACACTCATGCATGCCCCATAATCCAACCACTACCACCGTGGTGTTCTGTGATATGAATTAAATGTACAAGTGCATTCTGTTTTCTTACAATGCCAGATGGCCTTTGTATACGAGTCTGATTGATATAGGAACATTGAGAAGTTGTTAGGGAGACAGGCTGACACACAGTGTAACTAGTTAAGCATGAAAAAAGGCACACGTCTACACCACAATCGTGTTCTCCTTGACCAGGTAGCCAAAGGCTTGCCCAACCACCAAGTAGCTAAAAACTCTCATCAATAGTGTCCATGTCTACAGTACAAGCTTCTCCTCATTATCGCTTAATCCCCCTTCAGCTTCAATGCGTGCCACCAGATCTGTCTATCTGCCTGTACACATTCCTCATTGAGAACTCAATCCCTTATGAAGGCAGGAAAGATGTCAGCCTTCCCTTAGCGACCTGGTCTCGTATCCAACCAGCCGTGCACCTGCTTCTCTCCACCTGGACGCCATGAGTTCCATATGACCATTCTCCAACTCTCTGCAGCATGCAAGTTGAGCCGTGCACAACCACCATTCCACGCCTCACCCCTCCTCATGCACGCCCCCCGTCATTCTTCACGCCTCCACACCTTTCCCCAGTCACCCCTAGGAAGTCACAGTCACCCCTTCTCATCATCAGTCCAACCTACCTATCCGTCTACGCACATCATCATTCATAAGCTGAACCCTTTCGGGAGTATAAAGAGATGTCATCTTGGTCAGAGCAGTCAGCTACTGCAAGACATGATCCGTGACTGCGGTGCCACGCAGGAAAAGGTTCTCCAGCTCTGTCAACCTCCCCACATGAACCATGCCAGCATCCGTCACTCCCTTGCATCCTGAAATCCACAGTACCTTGAGAGAGGAAAGGCGTGTCAAGTGCCTCAGCCCACCATTAGTCACTTTGGTGACTTGCAAATAGAGGTGCTTGAGACTGGTCATGGACCCAATGCCTTCCAAGGCACTGTCCAATCCAGGTCTAGCGTCTCCAGCCGTGGCAGCCTGTAGAGGTGCTTGATGCCCTCTACACTGAAGCCTGAGCTAGACTCTAAGCTGATGCTCGTTAGATGGGTCAACATGGATACATGGGCGAGCATGGCGTCTGAGAGGCCACTGAGATTCTTCAGAACCAGTTTGGGCTTTGGGGATGCTGCATTGATTACTGGAGGGGATTGGTTCAGAGGAGAAATATGACAACAAAAGGAATGTTCACAATGACAAGAAAGAACTACCATGTGATCATGCCCTGCAAAGCAATGCATGCATTGCAAAGCAATGCATGCGCTGCGAAGCAATGCATGCGCTGCGAAGCAATGCATGCCCTGCGAAGCAATGCATGCCCCGCGAAGCAATCCATGCCCTCCGAAGCAATACATGCCTCTGAAACCATGCATACCTTGTCAAACCATGCATAGCCCATGAAGCACTTCACTCAGTACTCACCTGCCATGCAATCTCCTGATGGCCTTCAGTCTGGACGATTTTCAGGTCAACATTCATCATCATGACATCATCCTTGTGAGCAGCTAACTCCCCCTTCACTACAGCCAATTCCCTCTCCCTCTCCTCCACCTGCCCTCTCATCTCCGCCACTAGTCTCCTCTCAGTCTCTTCCAGTTGCATGCCAAGCGCCTTCATTCTTATCTTCATCGCCTCACCCAGCTCGAGTGTTCCGACCATACTCTGACAGTCCTAACAGCCTTACCCAGTTTCTGCATCACAGAATTGACATGCTTCCTACGCATGGCACCACATGGGCGCGCGTGGCACGAGCAAGGAAATGAGAAGATGGGGAGGGTAAGGGAGTAATGGCTAGTGGAGACTTGGAAGAATTCGAGCAAGGGAGGGACTGAGCAGCGAGAGACCTCAGCTCTAGGCATCAAGAAGCTTACACAGTCAAATGATCTATGGTGGCGAACGAGGGGGAACTGGCGAAGATAACTGAAGATTGCAAAATACTGTTTTTTTTTTTAGGAGTGAGGAGGATAAGGAACGAGAGAGGAACATGCAGTAGCATAAGAAACACAAGTGAGTGCATGGAGGATTAAGCGCTCAGAAGATTGTTGAGCAGCAAAGCTGCAGTGGTGGGGGACGGAGCACATGGCGTACTACGAAGCACTTGCTTACACTCTTCAGCCCCATCAGCCCAGCCGTCAAACCAAGCCCTGCTGATGCACCCATGCTCTGACTTGCGTGTGGGTCACGTCCTTTCACCATAGCACTACTACAAGAGTGGCGGTGGCAGAATAAAATACAAAAACTGAAGCCTGTGGCCGTGGGATAACAAGGGAGGAAAGAGTGAAACACAAATACGATTAGAGGGTGACAGGTTACAGCACAACAGAACACCAGACCATGACAGAAACGTACGTTGCGTGCAGCGAGGTGGCAAGTGCAGAGACCTCGGTTCTTTTGTACACACACCAGGGTGGGGAGCGAGTGAGGCGGCACGATGAGGGTACGGGCATGCTGACCAGAGGCCGCACTTGTATGGGCTTTAGTGGGAGGCCCGCATGTGGCGTCAGTGGACTGAGGTTTACAACACATGCATGCATACGAAGAGGGCCAAACACATACACACACATACGCAGACATGATGGCGGTACACATGCAACAGAATATAAATAGCTGATTCATTGGGAAACAACCCTCCTTATATCCATGCTAAGAGCAGCATGTACAGAAGCAACAAGACAATAATGGTCAAGTCAGGAAGACACTCATAAGGTCAATAAGACAGAGGACAGATTGAGGGAAGGAGAGGGAGAATGACAAGATGGTTGACTTGCTGGCTGGTGGTGTCACGTTAAATCGGCAAGAGGAAACAAGGAAGAAAGGAGACCACTGGTATATGCTCATCGCATGCAAAGAGCTTGCAAGTGCAAGATACATGCGGTGTTAGTGTGTCTCAATTGTTGACAATTTTTTACCATGTCTGGTTTGACTCCCATAGGCTTGCATTCAAGTCCGACGGGCACAATCAGTCCAAGGCGGCCTCCCCAAAGTGCATCGAAAGATTTTAGTCAACTCTTTTTGGGCCGTTGAAGCACTCTCGGTTTGATACCGCTAGGACTGCACAGGTCGGACATTTAGGGAGGCTCTCATTACATTAACGTTGTTACAGAATACACAACACAATAGAACAACCCTTTTCAGACATTGCAGAAAACAAACCCAAACAAATATATACATAGAAAAAAAATGCTAGTATTATGAAGGCTCATTCGACCGGAATTGAACCAGATCAGGTCGAACCTCGCACAGTCTAACTCAAAACGCTAACGGCGACCAAACCAGCTGTACTCAAACTTGAACAGAAAGTGGCATAAACGGTTCAGCCCATACCAGGTTCGGTTCTGTTTGACTTACATCCAAATCGGGTCAGCTCAACGCAAAACAAATCGGGTTTTGCATGTGCCATGGCAGTGACGACTCACGTCCTCTGCTGTGGTGGCATGCCAGGCATCTCGGCCTGATGTATGATGCTGATGACTGCGACTGCAGAGATAGCAGCTCTGGGAAGGAAAGGCACCAGCTGGCAACAGCACGGCCACTACAGTCATCCTAGCCATGGCTGATGGGGCGAGCGCCTGCACATTGAGGTGCAGCAGGAGCATAGGGATGGAAAGGGGCAGCAGGGGAGGAAGGGGGGCAGGTGGCAGAGCAAGTGTATTGTACAGAAAGGTCTGGCAAGGGGGCAGTGCCACGGTAAATGGGATGGGATGGGAGGGGGTAAGGAGCAGGGCAAGTGGGGAGGGCGACAGGCAGGCAGGAGCATGGCTGATGGGGACAGCCAAATGCAAGGCGTGACTGTGTGGCAAACGGGGCAAGAGCGGCAGCAGCTGGTGAGGGGAGGGGAGCGGTGGCAGTAGTAGCAGGGGGAGGGGGGAAAAGGGGTGGGGGGGAGAGGGGGGAGGGTGCATGCGCAGTATTAGGGGCTGAATAGTCGCAGGAGACAGTAGTAGTACATGGGTGACGGGGATCCGTGCAGTAGCAGAAGGGTGGGAAAGGAGGGGGCGGGAGTGGGGAAGAGCGGCTGTAGCAGGGGGGGGCAGAAGGGGAAGGCGGGAAAATGGGGGGAAGGTAATAGCGACAGTAGGAGGGGGGAAAGGGAGGGGAAAAGTGGCAGCAGCAAGGGGGGAAGGGAGCGGACTAGCGGAAGCAGCTGCATAGGTATAGTGGAGCAGCAGCTGGGGAGGGAAGAAGGCAGTAGCAGAATCAAGATACTGGATTACAAGAGGCAAGCAGGGCATGGGGGATTGAGGGTGGATACAGATGGACGGCCCATTTGCACACGGGGGTTTAGCGACTATAGATGAGGCACATGAGACTCAAAATATGAGGCTAGTAGAACAAACAGGTACGAAATTCAGGACGGTACAAGGACGAATGAACAGGTCACTAACTGAAACAGCCACTAAGCTGTTTTGGCAGAGTAGTAGTAGTAGGAAACGCTCTCAAGAGATTTCAGAAAGAAAGTAGCAAGATAGCTTTACAAAGCTCATATGATGGCACACAAATCTGAGATACATCCTAATATACTAGGATACTAGCTATGGCGCCTCGAGCAGGTCGTTCATGTCGCCTTTCATAGTCCTAGAGCTAAGTGTTGGAGAATCGAGTTTCTGCCACCCCAGCCCTTTGCACACAAGGAGCAGGAAGGGGGGAATGTCGGCGACGGAGTCAAGGCTTCGCGAAATATTCAGAAACTTCTGCAACTAATCAGATTGCAGCCGAAGACTCGATACAGTTCGGGATTGCTCTCAAACAAAAGTGTCGACAATTTCTACAGGTTTCTAAAAAATAGAATCAGCTATAACAGAACATTCCAGAGATTTCTTATTCATGCACCTCATGTGGCTCTCAAGTCACTCAAGGTTCATGAAATCTGAATTGTGCCCAAGTTCCCAAGGAAGTTGCTTTGTCTAGCAGTCTAGTTTGAGCTACATATCTCTCTTTTTTTGTTATGCTCATAGAGTTGTGCCTTAGTGGGCTTGTATAATCTTGACCATAATGAGGTTTTACCTCATCCAGTCAATTCCAGCAGCCCTGCTAAAACTTTCCAGTCAAGTTTCCATTCCTCCAGTAGTCACAGCTACTATGTTTTACAAGTTGGTAACAGAGCCCGTCGTTTCGATCAGCCGAGCCTATTACGTTCCTATCCTAGCATTATCCAACCATGGCGGGAGATAATCCGTCTAACCCTACACTCCAATCAGCCGGAGGAGCTACAGAGTCAATATCAGGAGCTACAGAGTCAACATTAGCAGCTACTGGTTTAATGGAAGCAGTTGCACGAGGCAGTTCTTCAACAACATATGTCAGAACATTACAGCTTGTGCTTTTGTGTAGGCTGTAGAGGGGTAGCCCATATGGGGTACAACCCAATTAGGGTTAGTACTTGTACCCAACTCTTTCATAGTTCATCCATTCTCTCGTTCTAGTTTTCACATGGTATAGAGAAGATTCCCTCGTGGGAACTGTTCCTAGGGCCCACCGATTCGAATTTTTTTCCTGCTCGGAGCGCGCTCAGTCCTTGTCCGAGTCGCGCTCCATGGGTCTCTCCTCTCACGACCCCTAGCGGACCCGTCGCGCCGCTCTCACGGCCCCTTAGGCCCCTTAGCAGCCCCTCGCGGCCCCGTCGCGCTGCCCTAGCGGCCGCGTCGCGCCGCCCTAACGGCCGCGTCACGCCGCCCTAGCCGCCCTCACGGCCCCTTAGCGGCCTCTTGCGGCCCCGATTCGCCGCCCTTACGGCCTCGATCCGCCGCCCTTCGCGGCCAGTTGCCGCTCTCCCCCTACGGCCCCTCGCCGCCCTTTCACCAGCAGCCCCGTCGCCGCCCTTGCATGGCCCCGAAGCCGCCCTTCCAGCGGCCCTGTCGCCGCCCTCTTGAGCGGCCCCGTCGCCACCCTTGCAGCGGCCCGTCGCCGCCCTTCTCAGCGGCCCCACCACTGCACCTGCAGCAGCCTCGTCGCCGCCCTTTCAGCGGCCCCGCCACCTCCTTTCAGCGGCCCTGCCGCCGCCCCGGAAGCGGCCTCGTCGCCGCCCTCTCATGGCCCCACCGCCGCCCTTTCAGCGGCCCCGCCACCTCCTCTCAGCGGCCTCGCCGCCTCCTCTCAGCGACCCCGCCGCCTCATCTCAGCGGCCCCAGACGCCGCCCTCTCAGCGGCCATTCCGCCGCCTTCTTTGCGGCCCCGCCGGACCGCCCAGCAGCCGAGCCGCCCAGCAGCCGAGCCGCCCAACCGCCGAGCCGCCCAACAGCCAAGCCGCCCAGCCGCCGAGCCGCTCAGCAGCCGAGCAGCCGGGCCGCCGAGCCGCCCACCAGCCGAGCCGCCGAGCCGCCCAGCAGCCGAGCCGCCGAGCCGCCCAGCTGCCGAGCCGCCGAGTCGCCCTGCAGCCGAGCCGCCCGAGCCGCCCTGTCCGGTAAGAGCAGCGCCTCTGTCACTACACTGCCCTCACCCTACTGTTCGCGCTGCTAGTGTACTGCTGTCATGGCTACCCCTAGTGTCCTTGCTTTTGACGCTGAGGATCGGGCCATTGATTTTGACGTCTGGATAGATGACCTGCAGCTTTTCTTACAGTGCGATGGGCAGACGGTCTCTCTCTCTTTGACCTCACCTCCAGTGCCTCTCCTGCCCCTGTTGCTGATGCTGATGCCACTGTTTGCTCACAGTGGGCCACGCGCGATGCTGCTACACGTCTTGCTGTGCGTCGCCACATGCCTACCTCTGAGCGTGCGCACTTTAGCCAGTACAAGAGTGCTCAGACCTTATACGAGGCTGTAGTTGCGCGCTACTCCTCCCCTGCCACTGCTGCACTGAGCCGCCTCATGCTACCGTACCTCTTCCCTGACCTTGCTGCCTTTCCCATAGTCGCTGACCTCATTACGCACCTCCGCACTAGTGACACTCGCTACCGCGCTGCGCTTCCTGCAAGGTTCTGCGCCAAGAACCCCCCCCCCCCATGTACATCACTATCTACTACATAGTCACCCGCCTCCCTGACTCCCTTCGCATAGTCAGGGACCACTTCCTCTCAGTTTGTCCCACCACTCTCACCGTTGACCTCCTCGAGAAGGCCCTCCTAGCAGCAGAGAAGAGCATAGTCGCTGTAGGAGCCTCCCGTGGTGACCCGCGCACCCCCATCTTTGAGGGGTGTTCCCCCTCCCCCCTTTTGCCCTCTGTTTCCTCTGCTGCTGCGGCCGACCTCGTTGGGCTTGAGTCGGTCGGTGCGGTGTCTACCCCTAGCGGGAGACGCCGCCCTGGCAAGGGCAAGGGGGGCACGGGCGCTGGAGGAGCTAGCGGGGGCGGTGGAGGCGGCGGTGGAGGCGGTGGAGGGAGTGGGGGTGGCGGTGGGGGTGGTGGCGGGGGTGGAGGTGTCGGTGGCGGCAGTAAAGGCGGAGGCGGCGGTGGCGGTGGCGGTGGGAGCGGCGGTGGCGGTGGGAGCGGAGGTGGCGGTGGTGGCGGCGGTGGAGGAGGCAGCGGCGGAGGAGGTGGAGCTGGTTGGGGTGGCGCTGCGCAGAGGGTCGGCTCCGGTGGTGGTCAGCGCCAGCAGCAGCAGCAGCACACTCGTGACATCCCCCACCCTCAGCAGCTCCGTGAGTGGTACGTTGCACGCCAGCGGGGTGGGGGTACTGGTCCGTGCATCTACATCCTACGCACCGGTGACCGCGCGGGTGAGCAGTGCGGGGGTGCGCACTCCACCCAGCGCTGCTTTGGCCGCCTGACGGACGCTTGGCGTCACCAGTTATCGGAGGCCACAGAGATCCCCTGCTGGGGTGAGGTTTCTAGGGCGGGAGTAGCTATCTTTGACCTTGACTTTGATGCTATTCTTGCTGCTATGTATGCTGTGACCATTAGTGATGAGGGTGACTGTTACCGGTGTTTCCCGCCCGACCCGGGCATTGAGACTGCTGCTCTAGGTACTGTTGAGGCTGCTGCTCTAGGTGCTAGCGAGGCTGCTGCTCTCGGTGCTAGTGCGTCTGTTTCCTCAGGTGCAGGTGCTTGGCCGGCAAGTTGCAGTCTCTATGGCAGACCCCTCTGGGGGTCCTGTCCTTGCTCACTTCTCCACTGTCTTCCCGTGTCCGACGGCTCCCTCTGGCACCCTATCTGGTCTTTACCTCCCCTCGTTCTCTACGAACTTGGTGAGTGGTGCTGACCTACAGGATGGGGGAGTTCACCAGTTCACTCCTGCAAGCCAGCGGGTGACCCACTGCACGGACGCTCGGACGGGCCGACACTTGGCCACGTTTACTCGTCGGCCGGCATCGAGCCTGTACACACTGACCACTGCGTCTCCTCCTTTCCCTGCGTCTGGTCAAGTAGCTGCGTTGGGTCAGGTGTTTGCTGCAGCGTCCAGGTCTGGTCCTGAGTCTGCCCCTTGCTCGTGTCGCCTCCTGTCTCACGAGACTCTCCTCTTGCACCACCACCTTGGTCACCCCTCCCTGCTTCGTCTCCGAGGCATGGCCTCCTGTGTCCTTGTCTCTGATCTTCCCCGGTCCCTCCCTCCCCTTCCTCCGGGGCCTGGCCCTACCTGCGTCCCCTGTGTTGAGGGGCGGCAGCAAGCTGCCCCTCACTCCTCCCAGTTTCCTCCATGAGAGGCCCGCTGCAGACGCTTCACCTGGACGTGTGGGACCCCGCCCGGGTCCGTGGACTGGGTCACGAGCACTACTTCCTGTTGGTGGTTGACGACTACTCGTGTTACACCACAGTCTTCCCCTTGCGCAGCAAGGGTGATGTCACTGAGGTGTTGATCGACTGGATCCGCGCAGCTCGTCTCCAGCTCAGGCAGAGCTTCGGCTCAAACTTTCCTATTCTTCGTCTGCACTCTGACAGAGGCGGAGATTTCTCCTCTAGCCTTCTGCGAGCCTACTATCGTGCATGAGGCATCCGCCAGACCTTCACGCTTCTCGACTCTCTACAGCAAAATGGGATTGCTGAGCGCCGCATTGGCATGGTCACGGACGTGGCCCGTACGTCCATGATGCATGCGGCTGCCCCCCATTTTCTGTAGCCGTTTGCGGTTCGGTACGCGGCGCATCAGATCAACCTTCACCCCAGGGTCTCCATGCCTGAGACCTCCCCAGCCTTGCTGTGGACGGGGAAGGTTGGCGATGCGTCTGCGTTCCGTGTCTGGGGATCTCGGGCGTTTGTCCGCGACTTGTCTGCGGACAAGCTGTCCCCTCATGCTACTCCTTGCGTCTTCCTGGGTTTCCCCCCTGACGCGCCAGGGTGGTAGTTCTACCACCCCACCTCTCGCCGTGTTCTGTCCTCCCAGGACGTCATGTTTGACGAGTCGGTCCCCTACTACCGCCTCTTCCCCTACCGCACTCCGTCCCTCCCCCCGCCGCCGCTCCTCCTTGTACCAGGTTCCCCCCCGGTAGACCCCCTCCCCCCTCAGGGTCTGGCCCCTTCAGGTGTGTCCCAGGTAGATGCAGTCGAGCGTGTCGAGGTCACTGGTGACTCTGGTGCTGCTGAGGGTGCTGAGCCTGGGGGTGCTGACTCTGAGGGTGCTGAGCGTGTGACTGCTACGCCTGGGGGTACTGAGACTGGGGGTGCTGAGCTTGGGGGTACTGAGACTGGGGGTGCTGCGACTGGGGGTGCTGAGCCTGGGGTTGCTGAGCCTGGGGGTGCTACGCCTGGCGGTGCTGAGCCTGGGGGTGCTATGTCTGGAGGTGCTGAGCCTGGGGGTGTGGAGCCTGAGGGAGCTGGGCCTGCTTGTGAGGCGTCCGGCGGTGTTGGGCCAAGAGGTTCTCCGGGTGCTTCGTCTTGGCGGGAGCCACTCTCTCCACAGTAGCTGCGCGAGTGGTTTGCCCAGCGCTGGAGGCGTACTGCTAGAGCTGGAGCTTCTTCGATTGCTGAGGGTGCTGGTGCCGCGGGTCCCGGAGGTGCTCGCACTGGAGGTACTGGAGCTTCTGGGCCGGCGGGTGCGTCTGGAGCTGGAACTGCTGAGGGTGTTGGCGCTAAGATTTCTACTGTCGGTCCTGGCGGAGGTGTTGCTGGAGGTACTGGAGCTGGAGGTGCTGCTGGCGCTGGTGCTGCCGCTGGGGGTACTGGTGCTGTCCGTGCTGTGTCTGGAGTCACTGAGTGGCCTCGGCCGTACTTCGTTCCGCTCCTTCAGCAGGTTCTTTGTCTCCCGCCTTCTACTGGTCCTCCTCCTCCCTTAGAGTGTCCACAGCCTGTCCCGTCACAGTTACAGCTACAGCCTGCCTCCCCACTGCCTGCTCCTTCTCCCTACACTTGTTGGTGCAACCCTATGGTTTGCACTCGGCTTGTTGTCCGTGTGCGTGCATGTGTGTGTGTGTATGGAATGGTATGAGGGCATGGGATAATATATATTTCATGCTTATAATTGTGTGTGAATGTTGAGTCATGATGTCGAGTGTGTGTGTTGAGTCAATAGCGAGTTATCGCTAGACGCGTGTTACGCGGTCGTTTGTGTCTCGCGCGGTTTCTATTTTGTCGTGCGCGGTTTCTATTTTGTCCTGTGTTGAACGTTCGGTGTGTCGCAGGTGTGTGCAGCAGACCCATCAAAAAACTCAAGGATGAGTTTGTGATGAAGAGCCCGAGCCTTGGTGTCAAGCCTCAGGTGATTTCAAAGCTCGCCAAAAGGGTACACCTCAAGATATTGAAGATAGTTACATTACTTTGTGTAGTGTAACATTTCACTTGGTGTAGGCCCTAGTGAAGGGTAGTTTCGAGACCCTTCGTGGTTGGGGACAGTGTGGCACTGTTCCACATCACTGTACCTCGGCTCTTGGGGTTTGTAGGAGCTGGGAGTCATTCCCAACTCGTAACTCTTCAGATCTCTTCCTATTTTGTGTTCTAAGACTATAGTGGCTGCCATAGTGCCGTTCGTTCAAACCAACACTGTGTCGTCAATACTTGGTCAAATCGTGCGATCTAAATTGCCTATTGTAGGCGACGTTCAGACGCTCCAGATCCAAGTTGAATCAGGTCATTTGAAGTTGTGACCAGAACGCTATGAACGTTTGAAGCCACTGTGCAGAAATCCGGCTGTGCACTCTATCTTTCGTTTTAGGCACATTGGAGCCTATTGTGACTATAACAACACTGGTCCTACTGGAGGTCTTGCTGAGCGTCGTGAGCCTGCGTCTCGCCCTGCGTCACCTGTCCGTGCTGCTCGCACTAGTGGTTGTGGTACGCACCGGATGTATCTACGTCCGTCCACTGCTCCTCTGCGTGCCCCGTTGCCTTCTCCTCTTGAGTCCTCTCTTCCTGCTCTTGCCGACGCGGAGTCGGACTCTCTTTGTGCTGCCTGTCCTACTGTCACGCGTCTCCTTGCTACTGTCGTCACTGACCCTTCCTTTGAGTCCACTGCTGCGTCTGCCCTAGTTGCTGAGCTCGTCGACTTTGCTGCTCGCTGTCGTCTAGACTACGCTGCTAGTCTTGTCGCTGAGTCCGAGTCTGTCTGTCCTGCGTCCGTCGAGGGTGAGTGTGCCCTTGGCATGGACGTCCTTGAGGACAGAAAGGAGGAGTTCCAGTGTCTGGCTGCTGCTTCCCCTCATCTCGTGTCCGTACTGCTTACTCCTGAGGGAGACCCGGATGCACTTGACATCCCGACTCCGCGCTCTTACGTGGAGGCGATAGAGGGTCCCTACTCCTCTCAGTGGCAGGCAGCTATGGATGCAGAGATGGCTTCCTGGAAGTCCACAGGCACCTACGTTGACGAGGTTCCCCCACCTGGAGCGAACATCGTCAGTGGCATATATATTTTCAGGGTGAAGCGGCCTCCGGGTTCCCCGCCTGTCTTCAAGGCGCGGTACGTGGCTCGTGGCTTCAGTCAGCGGCAGGGAGTTGACTAATTTCAGACCTTCTCTCCCACCCTCAAGATGACCACTCTTCGGGTGCTGCTGCACAAAGCCGCTAAGCGCGACTACGAGCTTCACTCTCTTGAGTTCAGCACTGCTTTCTCGTAGGGTAGTCTGCACGAGGAGATCTGGCTGCGCCACTCACTTGGCTTCACTGGGACTTTTCCTCCTAGCACCCAATGGAGCCTCCGGCGGCCACTCTACGGTCTCCGTCAGGCACCGCGTGAGTGGCACGACACACTGAGGACTACACTTGCGGCTCTTGGGTTTGCTCCCTCTACTGCCGACCCGTCGCTGTTTCTGCGCACCGACACCTCTTTGCCGCGGTTCTACATCCTTGTGTACGTCGACGACTTGGTCTTTGCCACAGCTGACACTGCTGGACTCGCCCACGTGAAGTCTGGGCTGCAGAAGAGACACACGTGCACAGACCTGGGTGAACTGCGCAGCTACCTTGGCTTGCAGATCACCCGGGACAGAGCACGCCGCACCATTACCCTGACTCAGTCACACATGGTGCAGCAGGTCCTTCAGCGCTTCGGCTTCACGTACTCCTCGCCTCAGGCCACTCCTCTACCTACTCGCCACTCGCTCTCAGCTCTGCCTTCGGATGAGTCCGTAGAGTCGAGTGGCCCGTACCCAGAGCTTGTTGGCTGCCTCATGTACCTGATGACCTGCACTCGACCTGACCTTGCATACCCTCTTAGCATCTTGGCACGTTATGTTGCTCCTGGAAGACACAGAGCGGAGCACATGGCTGCAGCGAAGAGGGTGTTGCGCTACTTGTGCAGTACGTCGGGCATGGGGCTTGTGCTTGGAGGGCGGAGTCCAATGGTCCTCACTGGGCACGCAGACGCTTCTTGGGCTGACGATCAGGCTACGCAGCGGTCGTCACAGGGTTACACCTTCAGCCTTGGTTCCGGCTCTGTTTCGTGGCGGGCTACCCGCTCGTCTTCTGTTCTCGGCTCCAGTTGTGAGGCTGAGATCTACGCCGGGGCCATGGCTGCGCATGAGCTTCGCTGGCTCACCTACCTGCTGACTGACCTCGGAGAGCCGCATCGTTCTCCTCCAGTACTGTACGTAGACAAGAAGGCCATGCTGGCCTTGTGTCGAGAGCAGAGACTGGAGCACAGAATGAAGCACATTGCTCTTCACTATTTCCTTGCTCGTGAGCTGGAGCAGCGTGGTCAGCTGCGTCTTGCGTACATGGCCTCGGAGGCCAACACTGCTGATATCTTCACCAAGGCGCTTGCGCCTTGTCATCATCAGCGTTTCTGTACTCAGCTTGGTTTTGTGCCTGTCTTGCCTCACTTGCTCACCTCATGACCTTGCTTGTACTGTTACATACATATATACCTGCTCTTGCTTGTCTAGCCTTCTATATATATATATGTACTCCTGCATGTGAACTGGCCTTGTGGCCTTGAACTTGTGCTCGGAATGTGTGGTGACTTTGTGATCCACCCTGAGCTTGCTTTGCTTTGCTTTGCTTGACTGGTCTTGTGACCCTTTGTTCTCCCCCACTTTGCCTATGGGGATGTGTCAGAACATTATAGCTTGTGCTTTTGTGTTGGCTGTAGTGGGGTAGCCCATATGGGGTACAACCCAATTAGGGTTAGTACTTGTACCCAACTCTTTCATAGTTCATCCATTCTCTCATTCTAGTTTTCACAACATACTCATCACTCACTCCCTTGATGCCCAAGCTTCACCTTCCTAAGTTCAACAGCAAGGATTTTCCTATATGGGCAACTCAGTTTGAACTCACTGCATCCCTTATGGACTTGTGGCCCTACTATACTGGAGAAGCAGCCAAACCAATAGCAGATGCTTCGGAAGCTGAGTAACGGCTTTATGAGCTGCGCAACAAAGAAGCTTTTCTCTACTTATTAACAGCATTCATGAGCAGCAGTTGAAGTCTCTCCTACCCTGCTCTACCAAGACAAACAGTGCATAGTAGGCATGGGGACCGCTGAAGTCCATGCACCAGTCACTATCAGAGAGCAGCCAAGTCTAAATGTGGAGCCGTTTCATGAATCTGAAGATGGAAGAAAAGGAGTCCGCACAAGCCTACCTTCAATGAGCTGAAACTGTATTGGAGGAAGCAGCAGCGATCGCTTTTGAGATCTCCGAGTCACTGTTTAAGACCTCCATCCTCGCCGGACTTATACCGGAGTGGGACAATTTCCGTGCAACATTACAAGCGCTTCCGCAATCGATGAAGACTCGTGCGTTCATCTTTAAGGCCCTTGTTAACGAGTAGCAGAGTCGAGACCTTGCATGGAACAAGAGGAGTGACGAAGGTACGTGGAGTGCTGCAGCAGGTACAAGATATGGCAACCAATCCCTGAGGCAAGGAAATTTCAGCTTAAACTGCCCTCAACCTTACTATGGTACGAAATTTCAG